CCAACCATCCATCCATCCAAACATCCATCCATCCATCGAAACATCCATCCAACCATCCATCCATCCAAACATCCATCCATCCATCGAAACATCCATCCAAACATCCAACCATCCATCCATCCATCCAACCATCAATCCATTGAACCATCCATCCAACCATCCATCCATCCATCCAACCATCCATCCATCATCCAACCATCCTACCATCCATCCAACCATCCATCCAACCATCCATCCATCCATCCAACCATCAATCCATTGAACCATCCAACCATCCATCCAACCATCCATCCATCATCCAACCATCCTACCATCCATCCAACCATCCATCCATCCATCATCCAACCATCCTACCATCCATCCATCCATGCAACCATCCTACCATCCATCCAACCATCCATCCATCCAAACATCCATCCAACCATCCATCCAACCATCCATCCATCCAAACATCCATCCATCCATCGAAACATCCATCCAAACATCCATCCAACCATCCATCCAACCATCAATCCATTGAACCATCCATCCAACCATCCATCCATCCATCCAACCATCCATCCATCATCCAACCATCCTACCATCCATCCATGCAACCATCCTACCATCCATCCAACCATCCATCCATCCATCATCCAACCATCATCCAACCATCCTACCATCCATCCAACCATCCAACCATCCATCCATCCAACCATCCTATCATCCATCCATCCATCATCCTACCATCCATCCAACCATCCATCCATCATCCAACCATCCTACCATCCATCCAACCATCCATCCAACCATCCATCCAACCATCCATCCATCCAACCATCAATCCATTGAACCATCCATCCAACCATCCATCCATCATCCAACCATCCTACCATCCATCCATCCATCATCCAACCATCCTACCATCCATCCATCCATGCAACCATCCTACCATCCATCCAACCATCCATCCATCCAAACATCCATCCAACCATCCATCCAACCATCCATCCATCCAAACATCCATCCATCCATCGAAACATCCATCCAAACATCCATCCAACCATCCATCCATCCATCCAACCATCAATCCATTGAACCATCCATCCAACCATCCATCCATCATCCAACCATCCATCCATCATCCAACCATCCTACCATCCATCCAACCATCCATCCAACCATCCATCCATCCATCCAACCATCAATCCATTGAACCATCCAACCATCCATCCAACCATCCATCCATCATCCAACCATCCTACCATCCATCCAACCATCCATCCATCCATCATCCAACCATCCTACCATCCATCCATCCATGCAACCATCCTACCATCCATCCAACCATCCATCCATTGAACCATCCATCCAACCATCCATCCAAACATCCATCCAACCATCCATCATCCATCCAACCATCCATCCAACCATCCATCCAACCATCCATCCAAACATCCATCCATCCAAACATCCATCCAACCATCATCCATCCCATCCAACATCCATCCCCATCCATCCATCCATCCAAACATCCATCCAAACATCCATCCACATCCATCCATCCATCCATCCAAACATCCATCATCCATCCAACCATCCATCCATCCAAACATCCATCCATCCAAACCATCCATCCATCCATTGAACATCCACCCAACCATCCATCCAACCAACCATCCACCAACCATCCATCCAAACATCCATCCAACCATCCATCCAACCATCCATCCAAACATCCATCCATCCAACCATCCATCCAAACATCCATCCAACATCATCCATCCAAAATCCATCATCCATCCAACCATCCATAAACCATCCATCCATCAAACCATCCATCCAACCATCCATCCAACATCCATCCAACCAATCCACATCCATCCAACCATCCATCATCCATCCAACCATCCATCCAAACATCCATCCATCCAAACATCCATCCAACCATCCATCATCCATCCAACCATCCATCCATCCAATCCATCCATCCAAACATCCATCCATCCAAACATCCATCCAACCATCATCCATCCAACCATCCATCCAACCATCCAAACATCCATCCATCCAAACCATCCATCCATCCATCCAAACCATCCAACCATCCATCCAACAACCATCCATCCAAAACATCCAAACCATCCAAACCATCCATCCAAACATCCATCCAACATCCATCCATCCAACCATCCACCATCATCCATCCACCATCCATCCATCCAACCATCCATCCATCCAACCATCCATCCATTCCATCCATCCAAACATCCATCCAACCATCCATCATCCATCCAACATCCATCATCCATCCAACATCCATCCAAACATCCATCCATCAAACATCCATCCAACCATCCATCCAACCATCCATCATCCATCCAACCATTGAACCATCCATCCATCCATCCATCCATCCATCCAACCATCCATCCAACCATCCATCGAACATCCATCCACCATCCATCCAACCATCCATCCACCATCCAACCATCCATCCATTGAACCATCCATCCAACCATCCATCCATCCAACCTTCCATCCAACCATCCATCCAACCATCCATCCACACATCCATCCAACCATCCATCCAACCATCCATCATCCATCCAACCAACCATCCATCCAACATCCATCCAACCATCCATCCAACCATCCATCCATCCATCCAACCATCAATCCATCCAACCATCCATCATCCATCCAACCATCCATCCATCCAAACATCCATCCAACCATCCATCCAAACATCCATCCAACCATCCATCCAACCATCCATCCATCCAAACATCCATCCAACCATCCATCCAACCATCCATCCAACCATCAATCCATGAACCATCCAACCATCCATCCATCCAACCATCCACATCATCCAACCATCCACCATCCATCCAACCATCCATCCATCATCCAACCATCCTACCATCCATCCAACCATCCATCCAACCATCCATCCAACCATCCATCCATCCAACCATCAATCCATTGAACCATCCATCCAACATCCATCCATCATCCAACCATCCTACCATCCACCATCCATCATCCAACCATCCTTCCATCCCCATCCATGCATCCTACCATCCATCCAACCATCCATCCATCCAAACATCCATCCAACCATCCATCCAACCATCCATCCAACCATCCATCCATCCAAACATCCATCCATCCATCGAAACATCCATCCAACCATCCACATCCAAACATCCATCCATGAAACATCCATCCAAACATCCAACCATCCATCCATCCATCCAACCATCCATTGAACCATCCATCCAACCATCCATCCATCCAACCATCCATCCATCATCCAACCATCCACCATCCATCCAACCATCCATCCAACCATCCACCATCCATCCAACCATCAATCCATGAACCATCCAACCATCCATCCAACCATCCATCCATCATCCAACCATCCTACCATCCATCCAACCATCCATCCATCCATCATCCAACCATCCCATCCATCCATCCATGCAACCATCCACATCCATCCAACCATCCATCCATCCAAACATCCATCCAACCATCCATCCAACCATCCATCCATCCAAACATCCATCCATCCATCAACATCCATCCAAACATCCATCCAACCATCCATCCAACCATCAATCCATTGAACCATCCATCCAACCATCCATCCAACCATCCATCCATCATCCAACCATCCTACCATCCATCCATGCAACATCCTACCATCCATCCAACCATCCATCCATCCATCATCCAACCATCATCCAACCATCCTACCATCCATCCAACCATCCAACCATCCATCCATCCAACCATCCTATCATCCACCATCCATCCATCCTACCATCCATCCAACCATCCATCATCCAACCATCCTACCATCCATCCAACCATCCATCCAACCATCCATCCAACCATCCATCCATCCAACCATCAATCCATTGAACCATCCATCCAACCATCCATCCATCATCCAACCATCCTACCATCCATCCATCCATCATCCAACCATCCTACCATCCATCCATCCATGCAACCATCCTACCATCCATCCAACCATCCATCCATCCAAACATCCATCCAACCATCCATCCAACCATCCATCCATCCAAACATCCATCCATCCATCGAAACATCCATCCAAACATCCATCCAACCATCCATCCATCCAACCATCAATCCATTGAACCATCCATCCAACCATCCATCCATCCATCCAACCATCCATCCATCATCCAACCATCCTACCATCCATCCAACCATCCATCCAACCATCCATCCATCCATCCAACCATCAATCCATTGAACCATCCAACCATCCATCCAACCATCCATCCATCATCCAACCATCCTACCATCCATCCAACCATCCATCCATCCATCATCCAACCATCCTACCATCCATCCATCCATGCAACCATCCTACCATCCATCCAACCATCCATCCATCCAAACATCCATCCAACCATCCATCCAACCATCCATCCATCCAAACATCCATCCATCCATCAAACATCCATCCAAACATCCATCCAACCATCCATCCAACCATCAATCCATGAACCATCCATCCAACCATCCATCCATCCATCCAACCATCCATCCATCATCCAACCATCCTACCATCCATCCATGCAACCATCCTACCATCCATCCAACCATCCATCCATCCATCATCCAACCATCATCCAACCATCCTACCATCCATCCAACCATCCAACCATCCATCCATCCAACCATCCTATCATCCATCCATCCATCATCCAACCATCCTATCATCCATCCAACCAACCATCCAACCATCCATCCTACCATCCATCCAAACAACCACCATCCTATTATCCATCCAACTATCCATCCATCCAACCATCCTATCATCCATCCAACCATCCATCCATCATCCAACCATCCTATCATCCATCCAACCATCCATCCAACCATCCATCCATCCCATCCATCCATCCATCCATCCATCCAACCATCCAACCATCCATCCAACCATCATCCATCCATCCAACCATCATCCATCCATCCATCCAACCATCCATCCATCCAACCATCCATCCATCATCCAACCATCCTACCATCCATCCATGCAACCATCCAACCATCCATCCATCCATCATCCAACCATCCTACCATCCATCCAACCATCCATCCAACCATCCATCCATCCAACCATCCTATCATCCATCCATCCATCATCCAACCATCCTATCATCCATCCAACCAACCATCCAACCATCCATCCTACCATCCATCCAAACATTCACCATCCTATTATCCATCCAACTGTCCATCCATCCAACCATCCTATCATCCATCCAACCATCCATCCATCATCCAACCATCCTATCATCCATCCAACCAACCATCCATCCTACCATCCATCCAAACATCCACCATCCTATTATCCATCCAACCATCCATCCATCATCCAACCATCCTATCATCCATCCTACCATCCATCCATCATCCAACCATCCTATCATCCATCCAACCATCCAACCATTGATCAATCTGTTCAATTAAAATTGTAGAAACAATATCAAAGACAAGTAAATCTATAGTTTGGTATGTAACTGGTATTTTGTATTATGTCGTAATGACTAAATGTATTAATTCAATCATAAATGAAGTCCCATTAACAGTAGCTGAACAGGTTGGGTTGTGGTTGTTGTTGATGCCGGAAGTTTCACAGCCTTTCTGGAAACACAGCGGCAGCCATATTGGCTTTGGACATTAGCGGTAGCATCTCCTGAAAATGTAGGTCTTTACTAAGACTGCCTGTCTCAGTCTCACCTAAGACAACATACAAACAACCCAGAAAGTTTTAGATCACCCTGTTTTAGATCAAACTGGGTGATGGGGCCTGGAGATGCTACATGGTGTAAGATTAACGACGGCATTAAACTCACCGGCAGGTTTGCGTTCGCCTCCATGGTCGCGAGCCTCGGTGATTGCTCATGTCTGTGACCGGAAGTAACCTCGCCATTTTTGCAGCGAATCTGAGCAAATTTAAATTTAAGGACACTGAAAATATTGCATTTGAATTTAGAAAAGTTGAATTTTTTATATGCTGAACTTTTTTAACACTGAAAAATAAAACTGGAAAAATATGTATGTTGAAAATTGTGTCACTTTGAAATAGGACTGCGATTTTTTTTAACAGACAAAAATTGCACAAACAAATAATGACAGATTTTTTTTTTGATGAACAAGTATTTTTTTAGGTGAAAAATATATTCTGAATTTAACACTGAAAAAGTAAACACTAATATACAGTATTAAAATTTCAGGGCATTTTTAAAATTCAAATCCTGATGGCACATATCTACTTCCATACACAGAGACAGTTTGGTATGGAAGTGGATATAATCTTGTCCTCCCAATTAGTAAATGTTTAAATATTGGTCCATTTTCTGTCTCAGGATGAACACATGAATCATTTGCTTTGGAGCGACACCAAAACCCCTGAGATGAAATTATGAACTATTTCCCCACAAACCTCTCAGTTATGAAATTGTTATTCTGGCTTTACTGATTTGACAAGAAAAACTCAATCTTTTTTCCTCATTTTACAACTAAATTTTTAATCCATAAACAAGTTGAGCAAAAACAAACCTGTGTTCTTTATGTTCATTAAACACTTGATTTGATACAATCATCAGATTATTGTTCTAAAAATCCAAAAGCCATGAAAACTGTATACTTATTACACAAATGTAATATATTATAATTCTCTGTAGATGGTTTTCTTGTCAGTATAAAATCCTGTCTGGCAAATTTCTTTATTTTTTCTTCTTGTGTTTGTGTAGGACGACAATGTTAATGTGTAAAGAAATAAAGTAAAATGAACAGGAACCAACCTGGAAATCTGATTAGATGAACCGGTCTTTTCACAATAAAAGCCTCCTAGAGTGAACTGAACTCTGACCCGGTTCTATTGCTCCTTCTGGAGGTTCTGGGGGGTCCTGCTGCCATCTGCTGGACTGATGGTGTCACTGCACCTGTTGGGTCCCAGGACTCACCTGGTAGACAGGTGAGCAGGTTCTGCTGGACCGCAGGATTGGTCGAACCAGCAGCTTCTGCTCCTGTGATTGGTCGAGCCAGCAGTTCTAAACTAAATCAATTTAAGGAGTAAACAAGCAGCTTCGAAGTTGCTATTTTTATCCTCCATGTTTGTTGTGATGATGTCACATCCAACATGGAGGCAGCGGATGGTCCAAACCTTTATTCAGATTGTTTTGTTTTGATCAGCTGTTCGGTTCTGATGTTTACTGCAGCCGCCATCATCAGAACCGTCTGCTGGACCTCAATGAAAGCTGGGGGCTCTGGTTCTGATCAGAACCGGCCCAGTCCAGCAGGGTCACGGGTTCAGACCTGAAATGGACTCTGACTTGAGTCCACAGGTTCTGATTGGGCTGCTTCATTCATAAACGGACCAGTCAAATCTGTCCAGCAGACACAGCCTGTGTGTGCGCGCTTGTTTGAATTACCTTGTAGGGTCCAAAGCCTTGCTTGTGGGTCAAGGGTCAGATTTAGGACTAAGGTGTAAATTGAGTTTTGGTTAGAAATGAATGGAAATCAATGGAAAGACCCCAGAAAGACAGACACGAAGCGCGTGTGCGTGTAGAAAACAGGAAGTGTTTATTATTAAGACAATAAAAGCCCTGATGAGTCAGGGATATGAAGTCGCTCCGCTACGGAGCATCACGTGATTCTTCTGGACATAAACAGGAAACAAACAAGATCAGTCTCTGACGTCAGCAGCCTCACCTTCTGCAGGTGACGCCACCATCAGTTTGGAGAGGGGCGGGGGCCAGTCACTGTAAACATCCGGTCTGTTCAAGCCCCGCCCCACAAAACGTAATCATTGTTCAAGAACACTGCGTGCTCGTGACCGAGGCGCGTGCACACAGAACCACCCCATCCGACACGTTCCCTCCATGAGACACATGTTATAAAAAACACGGGACCAGAACTCCCAATCTGGTTCCGGTCTGGTTCCGGTCCTCCCATCAGGCGCAGGGCAGGCTGTCCGCAGCCCGGCCCAGCTCCCGGCAGTCCGGGGAGAACTGCAGCCTCCGAACCGCCTCCTTGATCAGGTTCCCGGACAGAATCAGTTCCTGCAGCAGCCGGTGGGTCCTCCTCCTGGACCCGACCCGGGACCCGCTTCCGGTTCCACGGTCGGATCTGGTCCCAGTCCGGCTCCGCGTGGCTCGGCAGCTGGTACGGGCTGCGGGTCCGGTGGGTCCCGCGCTGGTTCCGGATCTTCAGGCAAAAGCCGCGGGAATTCTGCTGGAGGTTCGGGCCCGCCGCGGCCCCGCAGGACCCGGGCCCGGTCCGCGGGTTCCCCCCCGGCGCCCCGTGGAGCTGCAGCGCCTCTCCGATCTGCGTGACCAGCGCGTCCACGTCCGCGGGGCCCACGGCCTGCTGCAGCGCCAGCAGGTTCTCCTTCAGACTCGGCATCTCTCTGCAGACCGAACCGAACCGAACCGGGCCGCTCCACTCCGCTCAGTACACACAAACAAGCCGTTTGATTTGTAAACAATGGGTGACGCGTCTGGACCGAACCATCTGCAGCCGAGGGGAGGGGGGATACGGAGGCGTGACGTCACGCTGATTGAGTGGGGGGTGGGGGAGATGAACCGCTTCAGACACTTCATCAGGTCCACTGGTCCAAACCAGAACACTCACTCCGAACCGAGCCTCCTCCCAGTGTGAGACAACCTCCCAGCGCCCCCCCAGAAATGGACCGGTCCATCCGAACCAACATTACATAACTTTTATCTGGCGCTGCCGGAACCATTTACACACAAACCGAACCTCATCAGAACCGGTATGACCTACGCAACATCATCGGTTCCGGTCCAAACACACACAATGATCCCTCTTCAGAACCAAACCAGTTGATCAGAACCGGATCCTGGTTCTGCACGCATGAGCTGATGTACCGAACCGGAACCGGAGGGATGTTCTGCAGAGAACAATATGTGTGTGTGTGTGTGTATCAGTGTGTGTGTATCAGTGTGTGTGTATCAGTGTGTGTGTATCAGTGTGTGTGTGTGTGTGTGTATCAGTGTGTGTGTATCAGCGTGTATCAGTGTGTGTGTGTGTATCAGTGTGTGTGTGTGTATCAGTGTGTGTGTGTGTGTGTATCAGTGTGTGTGTGTATCAGTGTGTGTGTGTGTATCAGTGTGTGTGTGTGTATCAGTGTGTGTGTGTGTGTATCAGTGTGTGTGTGTGTATCAGTGTGTGTGTGTGTGTGTGTATCAGTGTGTGTGTGTGTATCAGTGTGTGTGTGTGTGTATCAGTGTGTGTGTGTGTATCAGTGTGTGTGTGTATCAGTGTGTGTGTGTGTGTATCAGTGTGTGTGTGTATCAGTGTGTGTGTGTATCAGTGTGTGTGTGTGTATCAGTGTGTGTGTGTATCAGTGTGTGTGTGTATCAGTGTGTGTGTGTATCAGTGTGTGTGTGTGTGTATCAGTGTGTGTGTATCAGTGTGTGTGTGTGTGTGTGTATCAGTGTGTGTGTATCAGCGTGTATCAGTGTGTGTGTGTGTATCAGTGTGTGTGTATCAGTGTGTGTGTGTGTATCAGTGTGTGTGTGTGTGTATCAGTGTGTGTGTGTGTATCAGTGTGTGTGTGTGTGTATCAGTGTGTGTGTGTGTATCAGTGTGTGTGTGTGTGTATCAGTGTGTGTGTGTGTATCAGTGTGTGTGTGTGTATCAGTGTGTGTGTGTGTATCAGTGTGTGTGTGTATCAGTGTGTGTGTGTGTATCAGTGTGTGTGTGTGTGTATCAGTGTGTGTGTGTGTGTGTATCAGTGTGTGTGTGTGTATCAGTGTGTGTGTGTGTGTATCAGTGTGTGTGTGTGTATCAGTGTGTGTGTGTATCAGTGTGTGTGTGTGTTTATCAGTGTGTGTGTGTGTATCAGTGTGTGTGTGTATCAGTGTGTGTGTGTGTATCAGTGTGTGTGTGTGTATCAGTGTGTGTGTGTATCAGTGTGTGTGTGTATCAGTGTGTGTGTGTGTGTATCAGTGTGTGTGTGTGTGTGTATCAGTGTGTGTGTGTGTATCAGTGTGTGTGTGTGTGTGTATCAGTGTGTGTGTGTGTGTATCAGTGTGTGTGTGTGTATCAGTGTGTGTGTGTGTATCAGTGTGTGTGTGTATCAGTGTGTGTGTGTGTATCAGTGTGTGTGTGTATCAGTGTGTGTGTGTGTATCAGTGTGTGTGTGTGTATCAGTGTGTGTGTGTATCAGTGTGTGTGTGTGTATCAGTGTGTGTGTGTGTGTATCAGTGTGTGTGTGTGTATCAGTGTGTGTGTGTGTATCAGTGTGTGTGTGTGTATCAGTGTGTGTGTGTGTGTATCAGTGTGTGTGTGTATCAGTGTGTGTGTGTGTATCAGTGTGTGTGTGTGTGTATCAGTGTGTGTGTGTGTATCAGTGTGTGTGTGTGTATCAGTGTGTGTGTGTGTATCAGTGTGTGTGTGTGAGAACACCGTGTTCAGTGTTTCTCAGAAAGCCTCTGTCTGAACTCATTGCTCCCTGCAGCCCTCATGACCATATATGGAGCTGCTGGCGGCACCACGTGACTCGGCAGCCAATCAGAAGCCGCTGCTGTCTGTGGTTTCCTGGGTCAGTAGAAAGTGAAAGAAACACATGAGCTTCCAGAACCAGAGCTGAAGTGGGCCGGGTCATGTTCTCCTTTATTTTCATACAAACTGACCGGAGGTCCGACTGATGAATCAGCTTCATCAGAACCTGGGTTCTGTATGTTCTGGTCAAACAGAACCCACAGAAACCACCAAACAGAACCAGCCGAGGGCCAGCTGAGTCTGTTTGGTCCAACAGAACCAGAATGTGAACAAACTGATCTCAGTGAGCAGCAGCGGTCATCGGGTTGGTTCTGACCCGGTTTGTCCCCACATGTTCATGTTAAGACTGGAAAACGTGTGGAGGAAGAGCAGGAGTCTTCCTCACAGCTGACCTCTCCAGTCCGGCCTGGACTGGTTCCACTGGGCCCAGCTGATGTCTCCATGGCAACGACTGAACCTGCTGTTCCTGTTTTTATTGTATTAAAATGTCAACATAATGGAATAAAACCGGAGAATATTAATGTTGGAATTCAGATGGAAACAGATTAATTAGAGGCTTCTTCGCACAAAATTTTCATTCATGAATATGAAATTTAACTAGAATTAATAGATTAATAATGTAAAATTTGTTCTTATTAGCAGAACAAATGTAGACATTGTAACAACCAAAAGTGAGAAACTATGGAGGAAATGAGACTGGATGGACAGACGGTGGAGGAGCGTCTCGGTGGACAGCAGAGCTCCGTGTTCCGGTCCAGGTTCTGCTCTGAAGCAAACATCACCAGGTTTGTTGGTAAAAAAAGTCCAAACTGTTGTTCATTTGACCCCAGAAGCTCATCGTGTCCAGCAGGGGGTCACATCGTGTCCAGCAGGGGGTCACATCGTGTCCAGCAGGGGTCACATCGTGTCCAGCAGGGGTCACATCGTGTCCAGCAGGGGGTCACATCGTGTCCAGCAGGGGGTCACATCGTGTCCAGCAGGGGTCACATCGTGTCCAGCAGGGGTCACATCGTGTCCAGCAGGGGTCACATCGTGTCCAGCAGGGGGTCACATCGTGTCCAGCAGGGGTCACATCGTGTCCAGCAGCAACAAAACAACAAACTTCTATTCCTGCATCTAGTGGAGCATTTAGAGAAACCAAGTCGACCCGCAGCAGACTGAAGACTGGGAAACAGAAGACTGAGAGACTGAACGTCTGCAGCAGTCTGCTGACGGAGCTGCAAGACCACCAGAACGTCTTTAGAGTCCAGAACAGCAGCAGATCCACTGGGGGAACTGGGACCAGCAGGGGACAAACGTTCAGAGTAAGACTTTAACGACTCATCAGAGGAAAGCAATTGTTTTACAAAGTAATATTGATTCTTGTAAAGAATATTCTGGTTATTGCAGAAAAGTGTTTCTAAAGTATGGATCAGGCCAGCAGCCTCTGATTGTGATCATCTGATGCTTTCAGTTTTTCTCTCAGTTTGACTGAAGTACAAATGAAAGGCCACCAAGTGAAGAGAAAATAGAATTAGGAATAAAATTCCTCAAAGGCTTCAATAAAAACATCTGATCCGATTGATTTTAAATGTGAGATTTAAGATACATGTAAAAGCTGAAACCAGCTGAGTCTGCAGGGTTCAGGCAGAGTCTGTTTTATTTCTCCAGATTAAATTGCAGAGCATTTTATCAAGTTTCACAGGAAGCAGCAAGTTAAGCTGGATATTCCTGCAGCTGGAGATTGCAGGATTCTTCCTCGTAAACACAGATCTCTTTGAAGCCAGTGGTTTCATTTACTGTAGGGTCAAAGTTCAGCTTGCATCTTTCTTTGGCATCTTTTGTGATAATTATAGCAAGATAAGAAACTTGAGCTTTAACAGGAATGTTGTAAAGATCGAATTTGCTACAGGATGGGAAAACATTCACATTTGTTTCAATGAAGCATCAGAGAACCTGCTGGGTTTCAAACCTTCAACCCTGGACCGCTCAGCCCGATGGGCGGAGCCTGTAGAAAACGGAACACCTCCACCTTCTGGGCAGCAGCAGGAACTGCAGCTACACCCAGAATCCTGACTGTTTATTGGTTTATTGTAACATGTTGATGTGAGCTGCACTGCAGATTAACATGTTTAATGTTTCTGTAACATATTAAAAACACCAGTAATTAAGTTTCTGATGCAGACTGAGCTACATTTCTGAACCAATCACAAGGCAGGAGGCGGAGCAGAGCGCTAGCCCCGCCCACTCAGAGGAACCAGCATATTCACTAAAGGAAACATCGTTTATTCACATTTATTTTCAAACTTTGAGAACGAAAATGCAGCTTCAGGAACTGAGATCTCCAACGCAAAGAGAGGTCAGTGAAGTAGACAAAAATACAGCAACCAATTAAAGAGCAAACAAAAGCATCCACAGACAGACCTGAAGCTCAGGAACCAATCAGCAGCCAGATCTGTGCTGCTCATAGTAAATAAAACCAGGTAAAAAACAAAGGAGACCCCGCCCCTGCAGGCCCCGCCCCTCAGTCCTCCAGACACTGGCCCGCCATCAGCATGTACTCGTCCATCTCCTGGTCCAGGCGTCTGCGGGACATGGACATGTAGTCGTCCAGCTGTCGGTCCAGGCTGCTTCTGGACAGAGACATGTACTCATCCAGCTCAGCATCCAGCTGCTGCTTTGGGACAAAGCCCCGCCCCTTTGAGGCTGTGACCCCGCCCCTCCGCAGCGTGGGACCCCGCTCTCCTGTCACAGAACAGAGATGACGAGTGGTCAGATGCATCAAGGTTCTGCAGACAATGGACCGAACAGATCACAGTTCAGTTCAGCTGAACCGACCTTCAGTCTGGTTCTGGAGGTCTGATGTCTCCACCAGGCGGCGCTGTCCCAGCCGACTCAGCAGGTTCCCCCGTCCTGTGGAGAAGCAGCAGAGAAGACCGGTTGGGTCCAGGAGACCCCGAACCCACCAGCCTGGCTTGTATCTGACCTGTGACCTCTGGTGGTGCTTTCCTTCCTACAAAGAGTCTGAACTGGAAGCAGTCTGTGCCACTGAACCGCAGAGCAAAGCACAGATGGTCCAAGGATTCGAGAGGAACAAAAACAAAATATATTGTTGCTGCTGACAACCAGAAAAACATACAGGAACAAAATGGCTGCCGTGGGGATCGACGCATCAGGAAACGAGGCTACAGAACAGAACCAAAACCAGACCAGAACCAGTCTATTTATCAGGCTGTTGAGCGTTTTCAGCTAAGCTAATGCTGCTAGTTCAGCAGTAAATGTTGCTGATATTTATCAGAAACTGAGGTCCAGTAAATATCTGTAAAGAACTCATTCAGTTCATAAGTCGGGAATGAGGAAAGAACTTGTTTATTGTTGTCATAGTAACTCCATGACAACTGCCATGAAGGTTGTTACGGTGCCTACCAAGATGGCTGTCAGTGACCTTACATGAGAAGCTTCGATCGCTGCTACTCACTCCTGTAGGGGGCGTTGCACCTGCCTCTCCAGGTGTACTTCCTCCTGAAGCTCCAGAACCCAGGCTGCCTCCAGGACCAGCGCAGTCGGGTCGGCCCGCGGGTCAGCAGCGGACCTCCCAGTCGGGTCCACACGCTGCCCCTCACACGCAGCCGCCTTCTCTGGCAGGTGGGCGGAGCCTGACGCACAGGACCAATCAGACACGCTGTTACAACGGAGACCCCAGGATCTGAACCGGACCGGAGCCGTCCGGATCCCGCTATAAGGTCTGGGGGGCGGAGCTTCAGCTCACCTGAACCAGCGCCGCCCTCCGCCTGCGGCTCCTGAAACCGGGCCTGCCGGGTCGGGTCAGCCGGGTCATCAGAAGCTGAGAGAAGCTGAGGGACACGCAGCGTCAGAGCACAGCTGGTTCTGGGTCGGTTCTGGATCGATTCCGGATCTCACCGCTCATTCAGGGAAACCGCCGTCGTGCTCCTCAGGTACAGCGGGCCGGGCCGGGCCGGCTCCATCAGAATCTGCCTCTGAAGCTGGAATCTCCTGCAGAACCGGTAGCAACAGAACCAACATCACGGCGACCCGCTTCACCAGAATCTACCCAGCAACATGGACCCAACCCGACCCAATCAATCAATCAAATGTTATTTGTAGATCACATTTCAGCAGCAAGGCATTTCAAAGTGCTTTACATCATAAACACAAAGTCATGCAGCATATAATAGACAATTCATTGTTACATATTACATTTCTAATCAAACTCTAATCAGCTGGTTTTTAGTTGAGATTTAAAGGAAGTCAGGGTTTCTGCTGTTTTACAGTTTTCTGAAAGTTTGTTCCAAAGTTTTGGTGCATAGATGCTGAAAGCTGCTTCTCCTCTCTTGGTTCTGGTTCTGGGGATGCAGAGCAGAAGGTTCAGGTCATCACTACTCCCAGGTTTCAGGCTGATCTTTAATTTTTAGTTGTAATAACTGAAGCTGTGCATTGACTCTAGATCTATAGCTCTAGATCTATAACTCTAGATCTATAGCTCTAGATCTATAGCTCTAGATCTATAACTCTAGATCTATAGCTCTAGATCTATAGCTTTAGATCTATAGCTCTAGATCTATAGCTCTAGATCTATAACTCTAGATCTATAGCTTTAGATCTATAGCTCTAGATCTATAGCTCTAGATCTATAACTCTAGATCTATAGCTCTAGATCTATAGCTCTAGATCTATAACTCTAGATCTATAGCTCTAGATCTATAGCTCTAGATCTATAGCTCTAGATCTATAGCTCTAGATCTATAGCTCTAGATCTATAGGTCTAGATCTATAGCTCTAGATATAAATCTATAACTCTAGATCTATAGCTCTAGATATAAATCTATAACTCTAGATCTATAGCTCTAGATCCTCTTTAGGTCCAAAAATAATGACTTCAGTTGTGTTTCTGTTCATCTGGAGAAAGTTTTGGCACATCCACACATTTATCTGTTCTAAGCATTTATTCAGTGATTGGATGGGGTCAAAGGTCACCTGGTGACATCATAATGTAGAGCTGTGTGTCATAGTTATGGTAGCCAATATTATTTCCTGTTATAACCTGAGCTAGTGGGAGAATATAAATATTAAATAAGAGGGGTCCTAGGATTGAACCTTGGGGTACCCCACATGTGACCTTTGACCTCTTTGATGAGAAGTTTCCAATTGAAACAAAGAAATCCCTGTTCTTTATGTAGGATTCAAACCAGTCGAGCACCGAACCAGAGAGTCCAACCCAACTCTCCAGTCCATTCAGTAATATGTCAAAAGCTGCACTGAGGTCCAACAGAACCAGAACCAGAACCAGCACCGTGGTTCTGCCACAGTCCGTATTTATATGGATGTCATTGAATACTTTGACTAGGCCAGTCTCCGTGCTGTAGTGAGCACAAAAACCAGACTGGAAAGAGTCAAAGCAGTTGGTCATCATGAGGAAACTATTTAATTGTTCAGACAGTTTTTTCAATAAGTTTGCTGATGAATGGGAGGTCAGAGGTCAGAGGTCGGCCTGTAATTCTGCAGTAGTGATTTGTCCAGATTGTTCTTTTTTAACAGTGGTTTAATGACTGCTGTTTTCAAAGCCTGGGGGAAAACGCCTGATGTAAGCGATGAGTTACTATTTGGATCAGAACACGTGGACCCAGTCCAACCATCCTTTGGACCGGGTCTGCTAGTCGCGGTGCTGATCCTGGCTGAGTTCTGAAAAACTTCAAAATGGAGGCAGGCTCCCTAATTATTTATATATTAGAGACGCTCCGATCAGGTTTATTGCTGCCAAATCCGTTCATCCATGAGGCTGATCAGCGATCATTCACTGTTTAATGGAAATCGGCTGATTATGATCTGCAACGGACCGATCAGCGGCGGGGCGGACCCGTCGGAGAGGAGGCGGAACCATCGGAGAGGAGGCGGAACCATCGGTCCTTAGCCGTTAACGTTAGCATGGAGTCGTTAGCCAGATTACTTCCAGATAATATCATAGTTAGTAAAACTAATATATTATGTTAAAACAGGGATTCCTTTGTTTGCTGATTAGTAATTTGGCTAATTAACGGCTGCAGGGCTCGATTTGACTATCAGTGTCGTTATGATAAAAACGGGACGTTTGCTTCCGGTTTCCTTCCTGCTGAATAACGAGGTACTTCCTGTCCATCACTTTCACTCAACTGGACGTGAGGCGGGCTGCAGGCCGGGATTCATCCCTGCCTTATTCCATACTCCTTTTTGGTCATGGAAATGTAATAAATGACTTTCTTCCCTCTACACCTGCTGGGTAGCGGCTGCCAGTTTGCATATTATCCGCTGACAGCTTGGATCGTGATTATCTATTATTGTTTGCTGTGATCCATGCTGTCATGTTGTCGGAGGTCAGTTCCTCTACATGAGGGGCGTGAACTTGCAACGCTGAGCTGACAAATGTCCTGGAATGATTGGGGGAGGATCGTTCTCACGTCAATTAATAGCCAGCTTCTTTTCCTCAGGCAAAATGGGCCAAAATAAAAACTGAAGTGACTCTGAAAAGTCCAAAACTAAAAGGCTTTTCAGAGAGATGCAGCACTGTTGTGATCACAGAACCATCAAATGTTTTGCTGCAAATGGTTGACAGGGTCACAAGAAACATGTTGAGAAAAAAAGAAGCAAATTAAGTGGCAAAGATTTGAGAAGAATCAAACGTGAAGCTATAGGAATCCGTTATGTTCCAGTGCAAAGTACAAGATGTTCAGAGAAATGGAGAAGGCTGAAGCATGGAGACTGGTTCAAGACCAATCTGAAGACAGGTTGGTCAAAGGTTTTATGGACTGATGAGACGGACCAGGTGGATGGACGGGGCCAAGTCCGGATCAGTACTGGACACAGAGGCGGAGTACTGGTACGGGCCGGTATCATTAAAGACGACTCAAAATCAACTCCCAAACCCAAAGTCAGGTTTTAGAAGCACTTTTTTCAAGCAGTGGCTGAAGAAAAGTCTGCATTATTTTTATGCAGACAATGCTCCATCTCAGCCAGTAAAGGTCTTAAAGATGAAAGAATAATGAAGTGGCCCCCAGAGAACCTGTGGCCCTTCTGAACAGAGTCTGTGAGGCTGTGGCTGCACAAAAAGCTGGCCATCAACAGACTCCACGCAGGGAAGGACGGCTGATAACTGTTAGCGGGTGGTGATACTGGTCACTGATTACATTTTTAAATGTCAGAAATGTTTGTCATTTTTTAGTTCTATGTTAATTATTATAATCTGAATAATAATAAACAATTGAGGCAGTAAAATGTGCAGTTTTTATTCAGTTGCATAATAATTCTGCACACTAATAGTTGCCCAATAATCTGGCACACATAGATATTGTCCTAAGAAAGACAAAATCTCACTTTTACTTTCTTCAAAATTCAGGTTTAAAGTTTATTAACATGTTGGAATGAAATGAAAACTACAGAAAACTACAGCCAGCATAATAACTATATATATATATGTGTGTGTGTGTGTGTGTGTGTGGTGTGTATGTGTGTGTGTGTGTGTGTGTGTGTGTGTGTGTGTGTGTGTGTGTGTGTGTGTGTGTGTGTGTGGCTACCTTTTGGCCCTAAATGCACTAAATAACCATGTGGGGTTTTATTTTTCACACTTTATAGTCAATCTTTGGATGAAAAATCTCAAAGTTTTTAATATTAGTTTGTGTTCATCAGCAAAACTTTTCCACTTATAGTTAACTGTACCTTAAGTGACTTAGAGGTCAGAGGTCAACTTTTTTGGACTGAATCTGAAGCAGCTCCAGTCCACAGCAGAGAGCCTGAGAAAGTTAGAAAGTGTGTGGAGATGGGCGGCAGCCATGCTGTGCCTCCACGTTTCACCGTCTCACCTCGGTTCTGATGGTTCTGCTCAGGATGGTCCCACTGGGTTCTGAATGGAGCAACCTGGAGCTGGTTCTGTTTAAACATCAAAGGGAAATCTCTCACTTTTCTTTTTCAGGTCTTAATTTGAGTGAAACACAGCAGAACAGCGCCTCCTGGTGGCAGCAATAATCCTCCATTCATCATATAGAAACATTGATAAGTTCTTAATCATTATTTAAATAATTCCTAAATATTTTGGATAATAATGGTTCTGGATCTGGTTTCTGTTTGGTTCTGGAAGGCGGGAACATGGGTCAGGTGTAATGGGGCAATCAGTACCAGTTTGTTCCTGCAGAACCGGTGTGGTTCGGGTTCATTCTCACCGAACCGGGCGGGTTTTACCGCCCAGCGGCCTGACTGCGGCCCGCTCGGCGGCGCCGCTACCTCCGGTCGACCTGCCGGCGTCCCGGCCCGCAGCGGGCGGAACCGACGCTTTCTGATCCTATTCCAGGGTTAGGTTAAAGCTAACCATTGAAGAAAATGTTTACCTTTAATTATTTTATTTATCATATTTATAATTCTGCAAAATAATTAGAAATAAAACAGCTACACAAAAGTTACCTTCGATGCTAACAAGCTCTTCCCGCCAGGAACTTAAATACCGGAGGGACAAAATCAAACAACCCACCTGTACCTCTTGGTTCGGTGGTTGGGCTCACTGGTTCTGCTAGAACCTTCCGGTTCGGTTCGGTTCGCTCTACTGACCTTCGCCTCTGACGTCATGGTCGACATGTTAGCTTCCCGGAAGTTCCGTTGGAGTTCATCCGGGTCAGACCGAACGTAACCTCTGAGAGGATCAAACTGGTTCTTTACAAACTGTTTGGAGCTAAAACGTCTCATAATTCCCAAACCCACAGGACGAGATTCACACTTATTGCAAACACAAATATCTCTGGACTTCCAGGATGCTTCCTGCCTCCACAAGAATTTTTTAATACATTGTCTACCTGATAGGATGGTCAGCAACCAATCAGATACTTCTTCCTTGTTTCAGCCAATCACATCAACCCATTCCAACAGCGCTGCAGCCTTGATGAAGAATAGCGCCCCCTTCACTTCCGGAGGTTAATGGTCCCATTTCCAAATGAGGTCTGAGACTGACAGTAGTCCATTCCGCCCCTTTCTGTTTGCTATTTATATTTATAGCAATAGAAATTATCTTATATTATTTTTCCATGATGACGCCTGCCTCCACTGACCGCATGTCACTGGTGAGAGAGCAGCTGCACGGTGAGAGCTCTGGATAATAAATTAATAAGTACTTGAATATCCGGCACAAAAAGGAGTATCATCATGAACAAATACTAATCATGAATTAAAGCGTCCAGTGATAACAGGAAAGATAAGACAAGCAAGAGAAAAGCAACAGCGATAATGGCTAACAGCAAAGCTAACAAGGCTCTGAATGGACACTGAAGCCAAAGGGACTAAAAGGCCCTAAGGTCACTGTGTAGGCCCCAGTACCACAGAAGAAGACGAGATGAGGACGTTTGTTCAAATGCATCCAATGCCAAGATTTTAGAAGCAGCTGAAAATCTACAGAAAATGATGCTGAACTTTGGAGAAGAAACGAAACACCCTGTCCATTGCAAGTATTACTAAAGGAGTGGAGTTCAACAGCACTGAAGTTCAAGATTGTATAAAATACAAACAAAAAGATGGAAAACTAGATTACACAAACCTGACAAAGAAAATCCAAGAGTTTGAAAGAAAAGCTGCAGAATCAGAACGCTATAAAAGAAGATGGAATCTGCGCATTAAAAGCAGGAAGACGAGACAGAAAGCCTCATTTAGCAGATTGCGCCACACTGGAAAGAGAAGATGGACATTATTCTGGACGCTGTACTCCGCCTCGGCCCGATGAACTCAGGGATGAACTCTGGCGACCCACAAAGCAACACGTCTGCAGGGAGATCAACATCCGGTTCCCCGAGGACCCAGAGGACCGCCAAGCGACTGGCTCCGGCCCAAAGTAGAGCCAACGAGAGCTGGGATAAAGGCGGGTTCAGAGGTCAATATGCCTTTATCAACAGACAGCGAGTTACTCCTTAAGGTCAAACAGATCTACACCAAATTCTGACTGCAGGTCATTTATCAGTTCAGGTTTTATTACCCATGGTTCAGTTTGTTCTCAGGTAAAACCCTTTCAACACTGTTTAGTTTTATTTTTAATCTTTCATGTTGAACTTAAAGTGAACTTTCTCTCATCTCTGTTCATGCCTAAGAGATTTGACTACAAGGAAAAGTTTCTTGTCATTTTGTAAAGATATATATAATATTCTTACAGGAAGTCATAAACACGAAGATTTTGGTCTAAACTATGGAGAGAAGCTTCTTCCTGTCATGGCTCCTGAAGGCCAGCAGGGGTCGCTGTTTTTCTAAAAACCTCCAGGTCAGATCATGTCCAATAAAATGGATGGAAATGGTCACTGGTTATTCCTCACTGTCTGTTTGCATAACTCACAACTTATTTTGTTCAATATAGATGGTTATAATAATCTAAACCAGAACAAATGATTACTGGAGGAAACATCCCTAAACTTGGATCACCTGAAATCATTTTACTCGACACACAATATAATCGTTGGGAATCTCGACTCGTTCCAGATTAACTTTATGATAAATGACTTTCTAAACATAACTCAAGTTACCCAAACAAAATATGTAACAATTTCTTTTTTTTCTTTTTTTTATTAGATTTTCCACATAACAATGAGCAACATGCATAGACATTCAGGTCACACTTGAGATAGTACTTTGGACAGTAAGCATAAACTAAAGGATAAACTAATAAATGACAAGACAAGAACCAAGAATAAAACAAAGCACATGAACAGAACCCACCAATCATTTCCATAAGTACTTGAATAGAAAGTAGATGACTAAAAAATAAACAAACAGAGGTAACAGAAAGTAAATAAACTATAAATTAGACAGAAAACAACTAAAACGGGGCACCGAAATGGCTTAATGTAGTCTGTGCTACTAAAATTGTTATAAGACTTAGTTAAAGGGTATATGTCAATACAACTGGGAAGTAAGGGGAAGCGCCACTCATCGGAAAATATGTAACAATTTCTGCAATGAACAAAATCTAGCTGACGTGCGGTGTCATCTTAATCCCAACTGGATGAAATTTTCTTGTTTTGGTTAAAATAGAAAATCAAGAATTGATTATTGGCTCATAACAAATTAATTATTGACCAATGAAATCAACTCAGAAATTTCTGCTGCTCCATTGATCAAAGTATTAATCCAAACTATAAAAGATCCTGAAATTTAAATAGTCCTGCTCAAAAATGGGAATTAAGACAATTTTCTCTCATTCAGGAAACAAATTTAAAATGTATTAGATCAGGAATGAAACGGATCCAGGAGGGAGAAAAAAACAACAAAATTCTACCAAATCCTTAATAATAAATAATACAGAAAGCAACAATGAAAGATTCATATCAACAGAGATTTTTAAATTCTGTGACAATTTATCTTCTTCCAAATTCTCAGAACAAAAATCTCACACTTTCTTAAAGAAATTAAAACATTTTTTCCTAAAATAGAAAATAATTACAAACAAACTTGACAACAATATTACAATGAAGAACTTAATAAGGCTGTTAATCATTAAACATCAGAGCTCTCATGTGTGAAACGTGTGCATACACAAAAACTGCTGTGCCATATTTTACACACAAGTCAGGATGTATAAGAATGAAAGTTTGACCTGCAGTGAAAATGTGCAGCTGCCACCAAACTTATTCTGAGGACAATAATAAAGTACAGAGTCAAAATTCAGGTACAAATTTATCAAGCGTCTCCAAACAGTAACAAAATGAGACCTGATCAAATTTAGGAACATGATCAATAGTGATCAATAATGATACAGGGACATATATCCAAGTAAGTCTATATATAAAAAATTCAATTGAAAGGTTAAGAACTCTATGTTGAAACTGAAGAAATTAAAATGTCTGCTGCTGCACAGAGCTGCTAATAAATTGCTTTAATATCCATAAACGTTCATTCTGTGTTGATGGATCATGAATGCAATTAAACCTAAATATTGTGGAATTGCTTAGAAACTTGGATCCAATCAAAAATTGCGCTTCCTCAACAAAACAATAAAAAAACAATCTGTTGTAATATTTGATCTGGCAAAATTCTTTATTCATAAACAAAGAGCTGAGATCAGTTTCTAACATTTTTCTATCTGCATTCCAGATATATTTAAAATCTCTGAAATGTATTGAATCATATGAATTTGGCCACTGATGCATGTTGCTAATTTTATTATCTTTTTGAATTATATGTTATTTTTCGATATGACTTTGTTTTTACATTTCTAAATCTGCCTCTGCTGTTTCCTCTTCAGAGTTGCACTTTTGTAATTGTTGTACTTGTTTGTGCTTACTTTGTTTCAAGATATCTGTAATTTAGTTTTGTCCAGTCATTATTTGCTTTAAGATATCTACAATTTAATTTTCACTAATCAAAACTACATATCTGCTATCCTATTATGTTAAAATGTCTTGCCATAGAGGAGCAGGAAGTGAGATACGAGTAATCTGTGCTACTGAGCTATGCTAGCACTTCTGCATGCTAATAGCATCAGGCTAGCTTCTTTCTACATAGCTCAATTTATGCAAGATAATAACAGGCTTTGTATATTATGAATTCTAATAAACTCCTGGTTCTTGATGTTTTTATTTGATTTATCCAAACTGTCCTTCACCTCCCCTGGAAATAATAGAAACGTTTTGATTGCTAGTTCAGGGTGTCAACATCCCTGAATATAATCAAAAAATGAATTAACAGCAAGTGGTTAAAAGTAAATATTTATTTCTTTGTCTCCTCAGGCGTTAAATCCTCCATCCTGGTCCAGAACCTGATCCACCTGGACCTGTCCTCCATGGAGCAGGTCCATTTAATGGATTTTGGACTTGAGGCTTTCCTCAGTTTTATTAATGATGTTCTGCTTTAAATATAATTCATGTATTTTAGTTGCTTTAAACAAACGGCTGAATCAAAACTGTACCAACTCAAACTTTTTAGGGTAACAATAATTGTACATTTTTACTAAACCTGGCTAATTTAGCAGGATGCTAATACACTATGCAGACATTTTATTGGATAAACTGGGATCACAAAGTTGCTGATCACTGGAATATTTAGAAGAAAGTACTGAAAAAAGAACAACCAGAGAGCAACGAGCAGCTCTGTGTGCTCTGCCCTTCTTGTGTTTTATTCAATAAATATCATCATATATTTAATTCAGTTGAATAATAGCTAGTGCAGAGTGCCAGAGCATTGCTAGCACTAAGATGAGGCTCCATCCCGTCCTTAACAGTAAAGAGCCGTCCAGAAGAATCGCCTCGTTCGTGAATGTCACGTCACTGTATAGCAGACTTTTGGTCTCAACGTTGTCCCATATCAGTCACACGACACTAAACACCTTGGCTCAGTCATGCAGTGGACGTGATATTTACCCAGAGGAGTTCCCATGGTAACGGCACCTGACAGCCCACTTCAGATTATACAAATTATTAGAGATGAAAACTGTCAAAAGTTATGATATGAGCCATAAAAACATATTTTATAAATTATATGATAAGAAATTCTAGTTATAATCCCTGATTTAATGAGTTTATTTAAATAGAACAGATTTAATATTGCATATTAGCATAATCTGGATTTTCTGGATCGAGGCTGAAGCTACGGACCCCCTTAAGGGACACGGGGACGTTTTCCTTTTGCGTTCCCTCGCAGTGACGTTCTGATCAGTTCATGTGACTGAATACTGTC